GATATCTGGACTCACTTAGCTGATCTGTACATCCCTTTCTGTTATTAAGTTTTTTTCCCTGTTGGTTTATCTGCTTATGCTCAAAGTCTTTAACTGAGTTTTCTTCCCCCTGAGATCTTTGACAATTTCATTCTCTGTCCCTTATATTCCCCCATTACTCACTTTCTGACTCCTTTCCCTTTGATGGCAGTTTCCTGGGGGCTCGATCTCAGAGCTGTCTCAGCTTCCTCCCACACAGGCAAATTTCACTGGCCTCAGTCTGTGCTCCAGGTGACTTCTAGAGGGACACGGCTGTCCGCAGCTGGATGCCTGTCCCCTTTTCCCCAGGCTTAGTGGAGCTCCGCGGGTGCCTCACACTCTGGTGTCCACTCCCCCTGCTCTGGACCAGTCCTCAGTTCTGTAGCTGAGGGCTGGGGCAACACAGAGCAAGCAGTGGGGGACGGGGTGGGGGAGGCCTAGAGATGAGTTCTTTGGTCAACCCATGGGTCAGCTTGTGTAGTCCTGACAGAGCTTGGAGGTGGCTGGTGGGGTAGGGAGTGGGGCTAGCAAGGAGCCTTTTCTGCAATTGTTAGTTCACCGGGTTTTTACCTCGATAGAGCTCTTGGTATTATAGACTGTGGGGACAGCTGAAATTCCTTCCCCTCTTATACATCATTCTTATTTTGTAGAGGTTTGAGAGATCATGAGGGTCAGAGAGGATGCCCGGTCCTCCATCTTTTGGGTCACATCATATCAATTGATTGTTGATGGTCTTTGAATCTCTTCATTGTGTCTAGCAGTAGGAATGGGCTGAGCGAGTGGCCCCAAAGGAGTCAGAACACCTCGGGCCCCTGGTGTGGTCAGCGGAGTAGAATTAGCTGCTGCCAAGTTGGAGGCGGGGGTCGGGGGGGAGGATTGAGGCCTTTTCCAGATCACGTTCTTTTGGCGGTTGTAGCAGGGCCTGCCGATGCACCCTCTGGAGTCAGGCTTTGCGTATCCAGAAGAGATCTGTTGGGATGTTGGAGTGACGTCTCCCTTAGAGCTGGGCCTCATCTAAACACCGCCAGACCCTGGGCACTGACCTGGATGGAGTGCATGAAAGGAGGTCTGTAGTTCAGTTCAGTGCCTTACAAGGAGCTCTGGTCCATCTTCAGGAGGCCATCTTCGGGGTTGGAATCCTGCCTCTGACCTTGAACAAGCTGTGAGCATAGGCAAGTCCCTTTACCTCTGTGCCTCAGTTTCCTCATCTGTAGAAGGGCTATCGGAGTTCGTGTACTGCCTGCCCACCTCTTGGAGCTGTTGCGAGCAAAGTGCTGATAGAAGAAGGGGCAGCTACGATTCCCTCTGTAAATGCACAGCCTGGCGGGGCAAGGCCATCCGCTAAGTGTTCACCCAGGCCGACCTCCTAGGCCACCACCACCACCTGCCTTTTTTTCGGCCTGACACATCCCCGATGCCCTTGTTCACGCAGGTGTTTGTGCGCCGATCTTCCCCGCCAGATGCCGCAGCCTCCTTTACCCAGCCGCGTGCCTTCCCGTTGCCTTGGGGGACCCTGCGCCTGGGGGGGTGGTGACATCTTCCACCATGTCCATAGGTTCAGTTCAGGGCCTCCCCTTTCAGGAAGGACATCAGCTGGCGAGCACCCAAGGAGGCCAGCGAGAGGGGCCAAGGGCCCAGGGCCCAGCTGCCGTTCAGTATAGGAAGTCCAGGCCAGCGTCTGGGTGGGAGATTAGCCTTGCTCTGCTTGGGCCCAGAAGGTGAAACCAGGAGCAGCGGGTGGACGCGGCCGAGGCAGAGGGAGGGATGAGGTCAGGAGGCACGAGTTCACCATGAAGGCTGTGACTCCTTCCTGGTGGAGCTGGTGGACTCCCCAGCAGCAGTCCCCACGTGGTGGGGTTGCCCCCTGTGGACGGGCTCCTAAAATGCAGTGCCCAGAGCTGAGCACGGTGCTCTCTGCGGGTGTGGTCTGACCCAGAGGTCAGAACACCCATTCTCTCCCACGTCCCGAGCACCATGGCTGTTTGAAACAGCTTGGGGACCGCCATCATATCACCCTCTTGACTCACTGGGCGCCGCAGTCCACTAAGGCCCCCAGATCTTTTTCAGATGAACTCAACATACAACCCCCATTTCGTACTCATAAAGTTGATTTTTTTGAACCCAGGAGTAGGACTTTAGACATTTGCCCTTCACAGACTTCATCGTCTCAGATCCTAGCCTGTCGAGATCCTTTGGGATCCCGACTTGGCGATCCGCTGTATTAGCTCTCACTCCTAGCTCGGGGCAGCATTACACATGTTGCCGCTCCCTGGGGCCCTCCGCTGCAGGCGTCCTGCCGTGGACCTTTGGTGTGGCTGCTCACCCAGTTCTGCATCGAATTGTGTTTCCATCTTGTCCACGAGACAGAGGGAGCTGCTGTAGCGAATCCTTTGCTGTCATCTAGTCACCATTTTTGTTCTGTCCAGTTCAAACTGTTCTCCTTGACGGAGAATGCCGAAGGGAAACGAGGCTGAAATACTCGCGCGTTGCTCCATCGTCCGCCCCGTGTAGCTGGGCTCCACTCCTTCTCTCCTCCCCAGGGAGCCTTCCTCTCTGTGGCCCATCGCCGTCCTCAGCTACCTCTGCTGACAGGGCCTCTCACGGCCAGCCTCCGCTTTCACATCCGTCCTCTGCGGCCTTCTTGGTGCATACCTCCAGTTCCCTGGGCAGCCCCAGGAGTCCCTCTGGCACCGTGGGGCGGAGAGGGACCTCTGATGGGGATTTTTATGGGAGTGAGCGGCGTGGCACCCTCCCAGGCCTTCCCGATTTCTCCAGGGCAGTCTGGCCAGCCTCCCCCCGCCTAGTAGGTCCCTCGTTGGCCTTGCTGTGTACCGATCTGCCAGGGCCGACCCCAAAATATTTATTAAGCCCCTGCAATATGCTGATCACAAAATGCTAGCAGGGAGCTTTGTTCTGAGAGGGCGCTATGGTCCTGTCCTATAATGTGTACTGGGAACCCAGGCAAAGGCCTGGCAGTGCTTGGGCTTCTCCTGCCTTCCCTCCCCTTAGAATGTAAGCGCCCTGAGGGCAGGGGCTATTCTGTCTTTTGCCTCTGTGCGGTGCCAGCACATAGTGGGTGCTTAATAAAAGCTGACTGGATCGACACGTTGTTTATCAGTAATGAGTTCCTAAACATAATGGTGCATTTAATGCAATTGGTTTCCAAGGGGAGACCAGACTGATCTCACCAAAGGGTGGTGGTTTTTAAAGAGGTGAGATGCTGTGCAGTTATTTTGTGCACGCTGTCTGCCCCTCTTCCCCAGGCCTGGGGCATCCCTTGTCCCCCTTCCTGTCGTCCAGAGCCCGGCCAGTGGCCCAGTTGCTGGACAGCGGCAGGCGAGGCTGGGGCCTTCACCCCACATTTCTGCCCCGGCTGCACTCTGGGGAAGGGGCTGATCACCCGTCATTCCCGCTGGTGCCTCCAGAGTGATTCCAAGGGATAGAGCCCTTTTTGAAAGGGAATTACATTGTTAGTAGCTGTGAGGATTAGCGCTGCCATCCCCTTATCCGTTCTGACATCACCTCCTGCTGTTCAAAGGGCCGGGGAGCCCCGGTGCTGGCCCACCCACATCTGCCGCTGTCTTTGAATGTGTCTTGCCATGGAGACATCGATGTTTGCCCAATGGCAGCTCAGGTTTGCCGCTCAAGAACAGCAGGGGATTTAGATGATTAAAACAAATATTTAAAATTATTTAGCGGGCCTGGCTTTACCATGTTGGTTGTCTTAGTTTCTTGGCACTTATGTCTTTGAATTAAAATGGCTTTCCTCCCTCCCAGAAAGCAGGCTCTTTTGAACCCACTTGGTTTTTGCTTCAGGCCTTCCAAAATAACAAAATATTTGAGCCCAAGCAGAGGCTTTCTTGGGGCTGTTTTCTCCTTCCATCTGTGGCCCATGTGGGAAATGGAGACATTTTGTGGGTCCTAATAACAATCGTAATAAAGGGGCAAGGCTTCCAAGGGGCAATTCTTTCCTCCCCCCCACCACTGTGCCTCAGTGGAAAGAGCCTTGGATTTGGAGTGTGAGGCCCTGGGTTCGGGTCCTGGCTCTTTCACTTCCATACCTGGTACAGCTTTGGGCAAGTCCATTGACGGCCCTGGGCCTCAGACCCCTAGCCATAAAATGAGGACGCTGGACTGGACTGCTGCTGAGGTCCCTTCCAGCCCTATATCTGTGGTCCCTGCCGTGTGCCCTGGGGAAGCCCCTTCCCCTGAGACCGCTGAGGTCCCTTCCAGCCCACCATCCGTGGTCCAACTCACGTTAAATGCATGCCCATCCCGCCTTCCCCCAGAACGCCGGCAGCGAAGCTGGGAATGACTACAGCCCGATTGGTCTTTCTCACTTCTCCTCAGTGAGTTTTCCTTAATATGTGAGGGAACCAAATGCCGATGTTACTCAGGACGCTGCTTATCCATCCCCAAACCTTGGTTAAAGGCCCGCAGGGTGCTTGGTGGGGAGATGCCCGCTCCCTGCCCTCGAGGAGCCCTGGGTCCTGCAGTGAGGCCACAGCCCAGGCCTGGCTGGGGTCTCTTCAGATGCCCGGGGGCGTCATCGTGTTTTCAGGTTCCACAGACAGATTTCTCTGGATCAGTCAAAGGCCTCTCCTGATGCTTCCCTCCATGGTGGAGGGGACGTTGGTTCTCAAAGGTGGGCCGCTGGGCCAGGAGACCTTCCGGGGGGGGCTGGCTTCCATCTGAGGCCCAGCCAGGCCGTGTACGGATAGACTTCTCACCAGAAGCTTGGCCACCAGCCAAGCAGCAGCCCATGAGGCGTTGTTCCGCCAGACCAGGCCCTGAGGGAGGGGGAGCCCCGGGGCTGGGGACCATCCCTGACAGAGAGGCCACAGCAAAGCCCGACCTGCACGCTCCTCTCCCTTTCCATCCCGAGAGTCACCACCTGCAGGAGAATGATGGATGGGCTTTGGCTGGCTGGAAATATGGAGGGCTACATTGAAATTGTCTGTTTTTGTTCATTTCCTTTACAGGTTGGTGGTTGGAGCCAGCTGTATCCTTTAGCAGACGTGGGGATAGTTTATGATGATAATTGCTGTTCTGGCTGTTGGTGTGCATGTGTGTGCAGGCGTGTGTGTGCTGTGTATGTGTACATGGGGAAGCGTGCACATGTGCAGGTGTGCATGTGTGTGCTATGCATTGTGTGTATGCCTGGTACACATGAATGTATTGTGTGTTTGTGTGCATGGCAGGGTGTGTGTGTGCTCCGTGTGTGGAGGGGGCTGTATATGTATGTGTGTGTGTGTGTGTGTGTGTGTGCGCGCACGCCCATGGGGGGGTGTATGTGTGGTCTGGGGAGAAACCCTGCTCTCTATACTCCAAATGGTTCTTCATGCTCGTGTTACCCATCACAGGGGATATAGTCTCACTGTCCTGAGTAGGGGGTTCTGTGCCCTCGGCCCTGTGTTCAGGCCCAGCAGCTTGGGTGCATCAGGGAAAAGAATAAGTGTGTCTTGGGCTAATACATGTTGGGAGGGCCCGGAGCGGGACCCTCTGATCCTCCCACAGAAGTCAGAATTAGAGACATTCCCCTCACCCCTGGCTCTTTTTGAGGGTCCGTGCCCAGCTCCAGGAGCAGAGATTTAGGGCTGGAAGGGTCCTGGTGGATCACCGCGGCCATGCCTCCCAGTTTACAGATGCCCAAGGAGGAGGAAGGCCTTGCCCAGGGTCACCCAGGCAGCCAGAGGCAGCACTGGGGCTCTCACCCAGTTGCCCTGAGTTCAGATCCGCCACACAGGCCATGATGAGCCGCCAAAGACTGGCGTGGGTCAGTTAGAAGCCGGAAGAGAAGCTTGAGTGCCATGTGGCTCCCTTGAGCAGGGGGAGAGCTGGGGAGGGGGCTTAGTTAATGATGCCTTAAATAGATGATGAGCTGTGTCTCCTCAGAGGCCCAAACAGCTGGACTCTGTCTTCTTGAAGGGCATCCGCAAAGAGCCTGGGCTTACGTTTCAGCAGAAAGGATTTAGGTGAAATAGAAGGAAGGCCTTGCATTACAGTGAGCGTTACCAGATGCCTCAGAGCCCGGCAGAGCGCTCATTCCCCTAGAGAGCTCCAGAGAAGGGCCTTTGCCACGGGCTCTTAGAAGCAGCCCCTGGCCTCTGATGACTGGCCTCTTCTCAGCACGAGGGGCAGCCCAGGGAGTGAGGCTCACGGATTCCAGAAAGGGAGTGGGCTGCTGGAAAGGACCAAAGATGTTGTCCCAGAGCAGAACAGAAGGCCCCACCCCAGCAGCATCCCATGAACTGTTACGTTCATGCATCATATTTTGTTGGATATTCCTCAGACAAGAGGTAGTTTTTGCTCCTGTAAAGATCAGAGGTGTCAAACTTGCCAATTAAAATGGAATTGGGAAATGGTGAACAAAGTAAAAATACAACGTAACGTAAATTTGTGGTTTTCTAAGTTAACATGTGATCCATCTCCATTGGAGTCTGACTCCACTGCTGTAGATAATTCTGCGGGGAGTATTTTGGTCCACTGGTCACTTTTCTTTGTGTCCTTATGCTTAGCAGAGGGTTTGCTGGATCGAGGTTATCAGCCGTGACTTTTCTTGTCTGATAATATAAAATGATTTCCACAGCATTGTGCCCATTCCCAGTGCCACCCAGAGTGTGTTGAGTGTTTCCAACTTGCTTGTCAGAGGGTTCCAGCCAGGATTCCCGTTCAGAGGGATACTAAGGGGCTTCTAGGCCTGATGGGCTGTGAGTCTGTGGGATGGCACTTTGGGCAGGAAAAAGGTTCTCTGGGGGCTGGCAGGGACCTGATGCACAGCACTGAGCCTGAAGTCAGAAGGATCTGAGTTCAAATCCTGCCTCAGACGCGTAACTTACTGTGTGACCCTGGCAGGTCTCTTCACCCCTCTCAGCCTCAGTTACCTCAACTGTAAAATGGGAGCAATAATAGCCCCTGCCTCCCAGGGCTGTATTTGTGAGACTTAAAGGTGATCATGCCCACACGGTGCTGTGCAAACCTCAGTGCTACATCAGCACCAGCTATTATCATCATTTCCCTCCCTGATCTCTGGATGCCACAGTTCTTTCCTTGAGTCACTCCCTTCCCAGATGTGTCCTTGGAGTGCGCGGGATTCCTCACGGGCTTTGGCCTGGACGCCACCGTCATGATGAGAAGCATCCCGCTGCGAGGCTTTGACCAGGTAGATGTTGGTGTGCTTGTGATTCACTGTCGCCGGACACTGCTGGGCTTCCTGGTGGGCAACGGGCACCCCAGCGACCTGGGAGGGCTCGGGATCCTTCCCTTGGCTTCTCGTCTGCTGCCCAGTTCTGGAAACCTGACCCCTAATTGAATGGGAGGCCTCCTCACCATGGGATCCAGATCAACCGGTGCAACCCAGGAGAGGCGTGGCATGTGGGGGCACGGGCAGCCATGGCCGTCCCCGTGCGACCCCGGAGGGGCGCAGTGTGTGGGGGCGCGGGCAGCCGTGGCCGTCACTGTGCGACCCAGGAGGGGCGCAGTGTGTGGGGGCGTGGGCAGCTGTGGCCGTCCCCATGTGACCCAGGAGGGGTGTGGCTTGTGGGGACACGGGCAGCCATGGCCATCCCCGTGAGACCCAGGAGAAGCGCAGTGTATGGGGGTGCGGGCAGATGTGGCCGTCACTGGGGATGCCACCAAATCACGTCTGAGGAAACGTGGGGTTTTGGCCAGTGCCGGCAGAGTGGTGGTTAGGGATTCCTGTCTCAGGCCGGGTTGCCTCCTGACTGATGAGGTGGAGATTAGAGAAGCAATGTCATGCATGTCATGCAGCAGGTAGAGGCAGGAAGCACTGAGTTCAAATCCCACCTCAGACACTCCCACCTGCATGTCCTTTAGCAAGGCCCCATCTCTGGGCCTCAGTTTCCCCCTCGGACTCTTTGACCACCAAGGTCCCTCCTAGCCTGAGGTCTGCGACTGTGTGACCCTGTGCAGGTGCGTGTCCATATGAACGCATGGTGTTATTGTGGACACGGGCCGTCCCCCCTTAGGCTGATTTCACTTAGAAAAGAAGGAAAGAGGCAAACCCTGGAGAGATGAGTGCAGTTGGAAGGTAGCCTCGGCTTCTCCACCAGCCGGGTCGGGGGAGTGTGACCTGTCTGTGGCCTGGTGTGGCATAGACGCACACGGGTTTTTACAGCCCAGGTCTGTCCCCACAGTCGGCCCAGGTAGTAGGGAACGCCAGGACCATAGCACCCTGGCCACACAGGGGAAACCGAGGCTACGATGGGGAGGTGGTGACTAGCAGAGCTGAGCTCACCGCCAGGTCCTCCAGCTCCCGGCTGCCCAAGAGGGGCTGACTGGGGCCTAGAAAATGGGTCCTGAGGAGAGGGAACCACAGCTAGCCGCAGACCGGCCAGGAGACGGGCAGCCATCCAGTCCATCAGCATTGATTAAGTGCCAGCGAGGCACCATGCCCTGGGCTAAGCACCAGGGTTCCAAGAAAGGCAAAAGCTGCCCTGCCCTCCAGCTGCTTCCAGTCTAATGGGGGAGGAAATCAGAGGACAGGCTCAGATGGGGGGTAGGAAAGGCCACTTGTAGGAGGGAGAGGGAGAAAGGATGGCCTGGGACAGGCATACACAGACAGGTAGAAGGGCTCAGGTCACGATGGGCTTTAGATGCCAGACCGAGGACTTTATCCCAGAGGAAATGGGAAATGATATGGTCAGACCTGCTTTAGCAAGATCAGTGTAATAGCCAGTAAAAGATGTCTCGGAGGAGAGAGAAGCTCAAGGCAGGGAGACCCTCCCAGAGGGCCCTAATGATAGTCCAGGGGTGGGGTGATGGGTGGGGCCTGCAGGAGAGGAGATGCACCTGAGAAAATGCAGTTTGACCACAGGCTGTGTATGTGGGATGAGTGTGAGTGCATCGAGGGTGTGAATCCGGGAGGCCAGATTAGTGGCGTCTTCTCACAATGAGGGAAGTAGGAAAGACAGGCGGGGGGGGGTGGAGGGGAAAGATAAGGAGTTCTGTTTCAGCCATGTTGAGCTGGAGATGCCTCTGGGGCATCGAAGTTGACACATCCACAAGATTATTTGTGATGTGTGACTGTAGCTCAGGACAGACTAGAAGTGGAGATAAGAGATCTGAGAATCATCAGCATAGAGATGGGAATTAAACCCAGGGGAGCTGATGAGATCACTGAGCAAAGTAGCACAGAGGGAGAAGAAAAGGGGGCTCGGGACAGAGCCCTGAGGGACACCTATGGTGAGAGGGCATGACCCGGAGGAGGAGACAAAGGAGACGGAGAAGGAGCCAAGGTCAGGGAGGGAGGAGGAGAACCAGGAGAGACAGTGTCCTGAACTCTCAGAGAGAAGAGAAGATCCAGGAGGAGAGAGTGACGGACAGTGCCCAAGGCCGCAGAGAGGCCGAGGAGGGGGAGGATGGAGAAAAGGCCTTTGGATTTGGCAGCTAAAAGAAGCATCAGTCACTTTGGAGAGAGCACTTTGGGGGGAATGATAAGGTCAGAAGCCGGGAAGAGAGAGAGAGGAGTGAAAGGGGAAGCAGCAGAGGTAGATGATGTTCCCAAGGCATTTGGCCCTAAAGAGCAGAGATCGAGGCCCATAGCCGGTGGGGATAGACAAACCAAGGGAGCAGTTTTCGAAGGTGGGCAAGCCATGGGCTCTAGCATTTATGAAGCACCTGTTGTGTGCCAAACCCTGCAAGGCAGACTTTAAAAAAACCATAAAACAGACAGACAAGGAGTTTGTTAGCTATCCCCACGACGCCAGCACATCTCGGGAGACTTGACTTTTCTTTTACATTTTTATTTTTAGTTCCATCTTTCTTACTCCCTTCACCCTTCTTCCACCCATTGAGAAGGCAAGAAATATGATGCCCATTAAATATGTGAAATCATGCAAAACGTATTTCCACATTAGCCATGTGGCAAAAGAAAAGCAAGAAAAATACAGAAAGGGAAAAATAGATGGTCCATTTTGGTTTTGGGGGTTTTTTTTTGTTTTTTTTATTTTTTTTTCTTGGCAAGGCAATTGAGGTTAAGTGACTTGCCCAGGGTCACACAGCTAGTGAGTATCATGCTGTCTGCGGTCAGATTTGAACTCAAGTCCTCCTGATTCCAGGGCCAGTGCTCTATCCACTGTCCATTTTGCACCCAGAGTCCAGCATCTCTCTCCCTAGAGGGGTTAACATGTTTCAAATCAAAGGTCCTTTGGAATTGTCCTGCATCATTGTCTTGAACAGAGTAGCCAACTCTTTCCCAGTTGATCATCGTTACAATGTTGCCGTTACTGTGTACGATGTTTTCCTGGTTCTGCTCACTTCACTCTGCATCAGTTCATATAAGTCTTCCTAGGTCTTTCTGAAACCATCCCCTTAACATTTCTTATGGCACAGTAATAATCCATTATGGTCATATACCACACACAACTCATTCAGCCATTCCACAGTTCATAGGCATCTTCTCAATTGCCAGTTCTTTGCCACGCCAAAAAGAGCTGCTGTAGATATTTTCGTACACGTAGCTCCTTGTCCTTTTTTGATATCTTTGGGGTACAGACCTAACAATGGTACTGCTGGGCCAAAGGTACGCATGGTTTGATGGCCCTTTGGGCAGAGTTCCAGATAGCTCTCCAGGATGGCTGGACCAGTTCACAGCTTTAGGAGACATTTAAGGGCGCTTGAAATCCTCCCCGAGCTTGCAGCGAACAGGATTGCGGTAAGTTTTAACCAATGCTTCAGGGCAGTTAAGCCAGTGATCCTTTGGAGGTTCATGGAATGTGATTTTCTCCCCCGTTACAGTGTGAAGGAGAGTATCTGGGGGCAAGGAGCTGTGTTTTTGCCTTTCTTTATGTACATGCACAGAATAGGTGCTAAAAAATGCTTGTTGCCTGATTCAGTGACTGGTGGTCACAGAAGGAGGTGTGATGGCAGGAGAGCAGAAGTCATTCTCTGTGGTATCTTCCTTTTCTGCATATTTCATCTATGCAGAATTCCCCCCAAGTGGCTGGGCACTGCCTTGGTGCTGTTTTCCCAACCCAAGGACCCCGTGCGTCTGCCTGCCAAGGCCAAAAAGCCAGGCCCCAGGCTCCTGCCTGAGCCCTGTACCCTGAGCCAGGCAACATTTGAGGAGACGTGGTCCTTGGGGGCCCTCCACCCCCAGACCTGTGGGTCTACCTTCAGGGTGGCTGCTGAGCCAGGTTGGGAGTTGGGCTGGGAGGAGCCCTAGATCGGGTTTCAGAGAGGGCTCGTCCTGAAATATGCTTTACAGCGATGCCAGCCCCCCATTGTGGGCTGAAAGTAAAACGTTCTCAGACGAGCCAAGAACGCCCTTCCTTAGTTCTGTGTGGGTGGCTTGGTGCAGAGGGCCCATCTGTGGGCAGGAAGCACGCTTTTTGGGAGTGGGGCATCGCTGACTAGACCCGTCAGAAGGACGCGGAGACCCTGACAGGCCGTGGCTTCGCTGTGGATGTGCGAATCATCGGTGCCTCCTCCCAAATATGCGTGCGGTGCTTCTGTGGCAAAGTGTTCTGGCATCTCCAGCAAAAACACCTGCCAGGTGGTCTGACAAACAGGAAGCTTGTGCTAGAGAATCTGCTTTTTGAAAAACCCACAACACTTCAAAAGAAATTTTTCTATTAAAAATCTGTCCGTCCGTCAGTAAAGCTACATTTCTGAGGTGCTTCCTATGGTGCCAGGCCCTGTGCGAAGCCCTGGGGATCCAGAGAAGGGCAGAAGACGGCCCCTGCCCTCGGTGGGCTCCCAGTCTAGAGGGGGAGACAGTCAAGTACTAGGTGCAGGCGGAAGGCTGTACGGCCATGGGGGAGGGTCAGTGACCAGCGCCTTTGTCTCTTATTCCCTACGGGCAGGGGATAGGGACAGAAACGGGCATTCCGTTGGCATGGGATTCCTGGTGAGGGCGTCTTCTCTTCTATGAGACTCTGAGAGGTGACGTGATCTGTCCAGGCTCCCAGAGCCAAGACCCTGAACACGGCGCTCACCATCAAACCACACCACCTCTCATTTCTCCGTATTGCTTTTTGAGACAGCCCTGTTTCAGAGTGTGATGGTGATGACGCCTCACCGTCGGTGTTAGAGAAGCACAGAATCGGGGACCCCCAAGGCCTAAACAGAATACCTTGTGACAGCTACCCCGACAAGGTCCCTCCAGGGTCTCTGGCTTTTGCCTGAAGACGTCCAATGAGCGATAGCTCCTTCCGCTTCGTGAAGATCAGAGCTAGAAGGGTCCTCAGAGGCCCCGAGAGACGAAGAGTCTCGTGGGAGGTTGTTACCGAGTCAGTGGCCATTCCCCCGTCCCCCCACTCAGTGAAGCGTCCTGCCCAATTCTATCCCCTTTGCCTCGACTCTCATCTGGGCACTGTGATCCCCACAGTACATCCATGTACCCAGCAGTACGGTAGCTTCTACGGCTCTTTAAATCCCCAGGTCTCCGTGTGAGGATCGTCTCTTCCCCTCTCCCAGCCCCCCAGGGCCTCAGAGGACGGTCTGCAGCCTGGAAGGGATGGGCCCCTCGGACCAGCCTTTGCTCGGTCCTTCGTCCCTGGGCCCATGCCTGGACTCAGTTCGATCAGAGTTAGTGTTGTACGAGCAGCCAGGGTGCCCTTCCAAGCCAAGATGAAGCATCCGTCACCAAGGATGTTAGTGAAGGAGGCTACACTAGAAAGCTACAGGCAGGTATATGGAATGAGGTCAAGGGTCTAGAGCTGGAAGGGGCTGACGTCTGGTTCAGCCCCTTCTTGTGACCGATGAGGAAACTGAGGCCCGGTGAGAAGAGGTGGCTTATCCAGGGCTACACAGGCATTGAGCGTCGGACCAGAGTTGGAGCCCTCCTGATATCCTGCCCTTTTCCCTGTTCCACACCCACACTCCTGTTATGTGACTGGCCACGGGAGAATGGGGGTTTCAGCCTTGCCCGAGGGTCCCCCTCGTCCCCTCCTAGCAGCTGCCCACCTCCGCCTGAGAGCTCAAGGGAGAGCAGCATCCCTCCCTGGGGTGCTCTGAGGCCCCCTAGGACCTTGCCATCTCCTCCAAGGTGCTCTCCGAGGCCTTTTCCAGCTCTTCACGTTCTCTGGGTCTGTGATTTCGAGTTGGAAAGGCCTTGGAGGTCAGCAGAGGCCAGAGAGGGCAAGTGGTAACTCAGAGTCAGGATGTGAACCCAAGTCCTTCTGATTCCCACTCCAAGGCTGTCTCTGCTGCTCCACGCAGAGCAAGGTGATCATTTATGGCTGTGATCGATCCCTTTTTTTCCTTTTTTTGAGGGGATCTTAAGAGTAGCCCAAGCAATGGGCAGACAAGGGCAGTGGGTTTCACGATGGAAGCCCACTAATTCTTCATCATAACGGCATACATTTCTGCAGTGCCTCAAGATTGGCAAAGCCCTTTACATGTTATCTCAGGAGATCCTCACAGCAATCCGAGGAACTCCGTGCCATTTGTCCCATTTCACAAGTGAGGAAACTGAGGCAGACAGAATGGAAGTGACTTGTCCAGGGTCACCCAGTTAGTAAGTCTCTGAGGCAGGATTTGAACTTAGGTCTTCCTGACTCCATGCCTCATGTTCTATCCACTTAAGCAGCCCAAAGCACATTCCCTCTGTTGGGCCCCTTGGCCTCTCCAAGATTGGCTGTTTGATGGAATGCCCGCAGGGCCTATGAAGGATGAGTTTTTTACCAAGGAGGCCTCGGCCACCCCAGGTTCTCAGGACTTATTTAAGAAGCTGGGGGTCATCCTTGGCTCCCCCAAGCCTTCCATCTCCGTTCAAGCACTGTCGTTTTGTTCTCGAGTGGGGCAGGAGTGTTGGAGGTGAGTTTTGTCACCTTCTTGGATAAGCCGATGGTCGCTGCTTATGGCCAGTAGGCTTCCTGAATTCTGTAAGGAGTGAATTCTAATAGTCCTTGGTTTTACATGAGGCTAGGTGGAGACATCAGCTTGTTTTCTCCCCAAAGGGAAAAGTTGTGGGACAGGAACCCCCGAGACCAAGTTCCTGTGGCTGTACGGGCTGGGCTGCATGGTGAGGCCCTCTCCTCTTGGCCTGCGCAGTGTCCTGAGCCCAAGGAAGGAGCATGCAGACAGACATTTGTCCTCCGTCCTTCCTGCCAGAGTCACCAGGTTGGGGCCGGCTGCTGCTTCCCTTTGTGGACAGCCAGGCTTGCGCATGTGTCTGCACATGTGTGTGCATGCTCACATGCATATGGGGAAGTGGGAGGACAAATTCCTACCATTCCTGCTGCTGTCTCAGGCTTTCTGGGGGACTCGTGGGTTGGGTTCAAAAGAGGCCCGAGCCCAGAGCCCTCAGCCAGGACATGTCAAATTTGATGACAGTACCCACCCGTCGCCAATAGACCCAGCACCCCCAAACGCTGGAGCCACAAGGGAAAGACCGTAACTTCCTGGAGTCCCAACCCACTTGTTTACAGATAGAGAAACTGAGACTCAGGGAGGGAGAGGGAGCTGTCCAAGGTTCCCTAGCTAGTAAATGGCAGAGCCCAGATTCGATCCCAGGCCCTCTAGCTCTCCTGGCCCTTTCTCCCTCACCTCCCTCAGAGCCCTCAGGAAGCCAGCAGGCTCAGGTCAGGAAACTACATAAAGACCAGGAGTCGGAACGCCAAGATAAGACCCACAGGTCTTACACATGGTGGCCTGCAGGAGTGAAGATGGGGAGTTTGCATCACGCCCGCCTTCACCTTAGCTAGGGCCCCGTGGGTTGCCAGCGCTTTATGCCTCCCTCTGGCCCATTCCTTCATTCACCTGGATTTCCATCCTAAGGGAGGTGTTCCCTGGTGCTCCCCCAGCACCCAGCCAAGTCAGGCCCCTCTCAACAGTTGGGAGCCCAGGAGGCTTGGGCCCCATAACCGCCAGTTGGCAAGACCTTCTTAGAGCGCACAGAGCCTGTAGCGGCCTTGGCACCCAGTGGGGAACAAGACAAGGCTGTTTTGTCGGCTTTCCTGTTCGTGTACAGTTGGCCTACAGAGCATGCGTGCTTCCCTTGACGGTGCAGGCCCCGCTCTAGAAGGCGGCACACATGCGCTACTGGACGGGCATCTTCCCCTGTCAACATTTGTGGTTTTACTTTGCAGCAAATGGCCCTGCTGGTGACCGACTACATGGAGTCACACGGCACCAAGTTTTTGAAGCATTGTACGATGAAAAAATTGGAGAAACTCGAGAACAAGCGCCTGCAAGTCACCTGGCACAACCACAAGGCAGGCAGAGAAGAGACGGACATCTTTGACACGGTCATGTGGGCCATAGGTAAGTCTGAGTCACCTAGAGACACGAGCAGACAGCGTGTCCCTTTCCGTGTCTGGTTTTCTGCCTCTGGTGTGGCCCGGGGGACCTTCCCGGCTGGGTCAAGGGTAAACAGGGTCCTTTCTAACATGGAGCCTGGGTGGTGAGCTCCCCGTCGTCTCCCCGGGTGCTTTACTGAGCCAGGCCTTTAGAAAAGTAGAGTCTCTTCAAGACTGCTGTTTCTCACCTTCTTTCTTTCTTTCTTGTTTGAGTTTTCTTGTACAAAATGACTACTCCAGAAATGGTCGACATGATTGCACATGTGTGACATATCAGATTTCTTACTGTCTTGGGGTGGGGAGACAGATAGAATTTGAAACTCAGAACTTTAAAAAAATGTTTAAAATTCTCTCAACATGTAATTGGAGAAAAATAAAATATTATTTAAAAAAGAAAAGAAAAATAGAGTCTCATAGAATTCAAAACCACTGAGGCTTATCCCTGCCTGAATCTTCTTCTAAGCGCTCAACATGTCCTCTGCTTGAAGACCTCTGGTGATGGGGAGCTCACTACCTGGCCGGGCAGTCACTGACTGCCGTTGGGTAACGCTGATTGTCAGAAGATTCTTCTTTTTTTATACCAGTCTGCCTCCCTTTAGCTTCCACCTTCCAGCACTCAGCAGACCAAGGCTAATTCCTACTCTAGGTGAGATGGCTCCTCAAACGTTTGAAGACAGGAATCACATCCCTCTCCCCAGAGCGTCTTTTCTCTCTGCCGAGCATCTCCAGATCCTTCTTTCTAAAGTGAATCTTAGAGAAACCTGGAAAATTAGAGCTGGAAGAAGCCAGAGATCAGAGCGTATCAGAGCTCGGAAGGGTCTGCAGAATCATCCAGGCCAGGGAGGGAGACTGAGGCCTGCAATGGCACCATGAGTCTGACAAACCCACCAGACCTGCCTCGTGTCTCCATCAGTGTTTAGTAAGCACCTACTGCATACCAGGCACTGTGCGCATTTAGGGCTCTGGGGATACAGAAGAAGGCAGAAGACAGTTCCTGCCCTCAGGGAGCTGCCAATCTAACAGGGAGACACCAGATAAACCAATGTACAAACAAGCTATCACAGGCCAAACTGGAAATCCCAGTGAGACGGAGGGGTCTCCACGCAAGCCTGAGCCTTCATGGCCTTTGGGGCCTGGGTGCCGGCAGAGGCTTCCGCACAGGGGCTGCCTCTCAGCTGCAAAGGCCATCTGTGTTATGCTGGGAGCATTGAGGGCAAGCTTTGCCCGGTGGGGAGGGACTTCTTCCTGCCCAGAATCCTGCCATCGCTACGTCTGTCCTCTGGATGCCTTGGGGTCTTGGCCCCTGACTCACCCCCAGCCCCATCCTTGGGGGCCTAGGCATGATTAGAGGGGCCGCCATCTCCCTAAGACGTACTCTCACCCAACGCTTCGAGATGTGGCCTTTATGTAGATAATAATCTCGTTGGCTCCATATCCAACCAGGAGGTCGGTAGGGCCTACCTTAGACGCTGGGTGGGTGTCCCAGAGCAAGCCCATCCCCTCCCTGGGCCTGAGTCTGCTCCCCTCTGAAATGAGGAGTTTGGTCTCCAGGGCCTCTGAGGCCCTCCGCAGCATCCCAGGCTGTGCAGAATAATGACCGCAGTCAACCCGGGGTCCTACCACACCGTCAAGGAGTCTTTGCTCAATTCAGTGTTATCTTGAAGAAACTGAGGATGGGGCTGAGACTTGAACTCAGACTCGTGTTGTCTAATTGCTCTGGACCCCCAGCTCAGAGCTGCTGCTCAGCGGTTCTTACCCTGGGGAGCGAGGATGCCCAGGACATGAACGTTATCACCTTGGTCCAAGGCCTTCGGTGATTCAAAGCCCTTCCCCTGAGCAGAGCAGGTGGTCCAGGGGCTCCGGGACACACAGACAGTGAAGAGCGCCTGAGCTGGAGTGAGCCGGAAGGAGGCGGCCCCTCATTTGACTGATGAGGAAACTGAGGCTCGCCAAGTTCTTTGACTCCGAACCAGGCCAGGTCCGCTCCCCCTCCCTAGGAGTCCGATCTCAATCCCTGAGCCTGAGTCCAGCCGGCGGCCGCGCTCCTCAGACCCGGGCACTTACGTAGCAGATGTCCCATGAAACAGAAGACTAGCGGAAGTTAGGTTGTGAGTCTGGCACCTTCAGGATTTACTGTTTCTGTCATGTGCCTTACGATCTGCCCCATTTTCTGGCTATTAAAGACCGCCATCTTTACCCAGAATCAACACTGATTATGGAATCAGCGTATCAGCGTTATTGGAAAGGCCTGTTAGACTAGGGAAGGACAGAGCTGAGGGATGCTTTCTGAGTCCAGGGACAGTGGCCCTCAGACACCGTCTCCCCCAGCCCCTCAGCTGATGGAGGAAGGGACAGAGGCCCGAAGGTTCATCTCCATAGTGTTTGCCCTGCGGGGTCTTAGGAGTTGGGCAGGGCTCTAAATGCGCCACCTGTCTATCTAAGAAGGGCAAATGTGGAAAGACCAAAGCCACCCACAGTGTAGCCCCTTTATTTTTGTTTAAGGAGAGAAAAGAAGGATCCTGGGACTCAAGGGAGCCCAGGCCAACCTTGGGACCTTGTGGAGTCATAGCACAGCTACTGAACTGGTTTGCACCCGTCCCAGAGTGTAATGCGTACTTTGCATCTACCAGTACTGTTTAAGGAAGCGCTCATTTCTGTCTGGATTAGACTCTGGGTTAATGGCGTGGGAGGGACAATGGGCAGAGCACCAAAGCAGACCTCAGGCTCTAGGGGGCCAAGGTGGGCTGGAGAGGGGAGGCCGCCCTGGCCCAGCTTTGGGATCCAACCAGAACTGGGGCTCCTTAATGGTTCTCATGAGGGATTTCAGGGTTCAGATAGCGAGTGCTTTGGAGCCACGTGCTGGGGGGTGTGGTGGGGAGGGGAGAGCCAGGCTCAGGCTTCAAGTGCTTGGCACATTCACTGGGTGACCACGCACACGTGACTCCCTTCTCTGAGCCCATTTCCCCACTCTGTGAAACCGAAGTCACATTGGCCCTTCCCGCCTCATGGGGCTCATGGGTCAGAAGGCCTTTGGGAGCTCCCGAGAACTAGGCCATGGTTCTTGTCCCAGGCAGCAGGACCCAGGGGACAGGGAGCCAGCCTCCCAGCCAGGCCCACTTCTGACACCTGCTGGCTCTGGGGCCCTGGACGGGTCACAGCCGTCTGGGCAGCAAGCTCAGACTAGCAGTTGTAGAGGAGGGAAAGGCCCCAACATCGGTGGAATCCCAGAAGCCGGCCCTCTCCCTAGCCGGAATGTTGTAGCCGAGCTCCTCGATGTTGTAGCCGGGCTCCTCGATGTTGTAGACGGGCTTCTCGATGTTGTAGCCGGGCTCCTCGATGTTGTAGCCGGGCTCCTCGATGTTGTAGCCGGGCTCCTCGATGTTGTAGCCGGGCTCCTCGATGTTGTAGCCGGGCTCCTCGATGTTTTGGCTAAATCTACTAGTTTGATGATGAAGACATTGTTCCATGTTAAAAGTTCACGTGAAAATCCTCCATTTCATTCTAAATATTTAGGATTTCTTTTCGTCACTCATAGGCTCAGATTTCAGAGTGGAAGCAGCCTCAGAAGGGGAAGGAGTGGGGGAAGGAACAAGCATTTTAAGCCCCTGCTATGCACCATACACTTTACAAATATCATCTCCTTTGCTTCCCACGACAACCATAGGAGGTAGATGCTGGTTTCATTCCTATTTTACAGTTGAGAAAACTGAGGCACACAGCGGTAAAGGGACTTGCCCAGGGCCACACAGCTAGTAAACCTGAGGCAAGATCTGAACTCAGGCCTTCGAGACCCCAGGCCCAGTGCTCTGTCCACAGCCGCCTCATTGGATGTGGTCATCGCATCCAACCCACTAGGAAGGCGACCTGCCCCAGGGCGGGCAAGCAGGTCCTGAGAAGCAGAGCTAAGATTTTCAGCAGATAAATCCAGGCTGGGCTCTTGAAGAAACCTTGTCAGTCGCCCTCATTTGTTCCGTCAGACTTCTCATCAGAAATCAGCTCCCTTTGTGTCTTTCTGATGGGCAGGCAGTCTTGGAAGTGTGTTAGACTTCTCACAGTTTGTTAGTTGTCTTTAAACATCGAGCCAATACAAGAAATGAGGCTTCCACCCCAGAGTTTGCTGCGTGCAGATGGTAGGCAGGCCCTTTGGAGGAGGCTCTCGGGACCTCTCCTTGAAAGGACAAGGCCACAGGAGAAGGCAGAGACTGGAATGTTCCTCGAGACTTCATCCATTTTTACTGCCTTGCTCCATTTAGTCAGAACAGCAGGGGAAAGCAGCTTGGCAAGAGGGACGAGTCTGGTCGTTGCCTTTCTCAGAAGAACCGTCCTCCCCTCCAGGTGTGTAAGGTTCTCTTCTAAACTTCATCCTGACATTTACCCTACAAGACATAGATTAGGGGAGTGTCCTTTCGTGAATGTTGATACCACAAGTAGGATGGGAGTCCCAGGAAAGGAAGAGCTCTGCAGTGCCCAGGGTTCACCTTATTGTGGAGTAACTGAACTCAGTGGCTCATCCTTGGTGGGAGAGGTGTCCAGTTGGAGCCTTCTGAGCAATTGGAGGGCCAGTTAAGAGCCCAGCACCCATGTGGTGAGGGCGCTGGAGAGGGGAGGCTGCCAGGCTGCCACAAGAGGGGCAAACCATCCCTGGTGACTCAGCCCTCACACTTGTTCATTCATCGTTGGTTCATAAATAGTCAAGGGCCTTTTCCTGTTTTAAACAGAAATGACTTCCTCAGGCCTCCTTGGGAGGCCAGAGCTTCATGGGCCCCGCCATTGACTGGAGGGTGGGAATGAACTGTTTGCCTTAGAGAAGCCATCTGTCAGTAAGTGCCAAGGGAGGATTTCCTGTGTGCCAGGTGCTGGGGTGCCAAGGCAGAAGGGACCCCCAGGTGGCTGCCCCCATTCAGACAGGGAGATGCCCTGTGCTAAACAGTGCATCCAGGATGCCTAGAGAGGAGATGGGAGGGA